GGGTGGGCATGTGCACGGGCTTGCACCGGGCCTTTTTTCAACTGGTTCCTAGGAACTCACCAGTGTTGTGGATAAGACCTGCCTTTAGAGAGACCTTCTCAGCCCAGCATGATCCAGCTCACAGAGCATGTGCTAGCTACGTCAGGGCACCCCCAAATCAGCTTTCACAATTGATTCCAACAGCATGAGTCAAGATGCACTGGCAGGAGGAAAAAATATGGTCCAGCTCAGCAACGGCATTAAGGAGAGCAACTGTTATTGGTACGAAAGGAGATGGGGACCTTGGGAAGAATTAGGCAACCTAAAGGATTTTTGAGATTTGCATTTTTCTGCTGATATATTTCAAGCAACTAGTTTCATACATTAATCTACAAGCCTTTATTTGCATTTCATTGATTTGTGTTGATTTGCTTTATGTTTTCATTTATATTTTATTGCCTAGGGAGCTGTTTCTGAAGCTGGGCTTATTTGTATTTAGTATTGACATAATGCCATCCCAGTAAGTGCGAATGGCACTGCAGAGAGGAGTTAAACAGCAAGTCTTTTCTCTAAAAAGCTTAAAAACAACAAGCTAGCACCACTTCACTGCACCGACTTGACTGCAGCAGGTTTTGCCCTTAGATTAGACAAAACATAGTTCAGAACAAATAAATGTACAGGAAAGAATGAAGCAGTTCCCAGTCACCTTTCAAATACATATCTGTTTAGTAGAAGACTTCATGTTCTGGGTTAGTACGCAACATAACATAAAGCTTGGTCTTCGCCTGTTGTTTATTTTTAGTGGATGATGGGGCAAAGTGAGACTAGCAGACATCATGCAACCAACAACACGAATAAGCCCCTGAGAAAACCAAAGCTGGCAAACAAACAGCCCATGTACAGCATAAACAGCAATTCTTCAGGAAAATGCAGGTTTTTTTAAGGACAGGGTATTTAACACCCTGAACTCACAGACATACTTTCATTTCTTGTGGGTTAGAGAATTTTGCAGAAAATCTCTGGCATAGCCCATTAAATGGCTTTGGAAGAAGCAGACTTGTACTAGAGACATCATAAAGCCAGACAGCAGAAGCTCAGATGATTTGTAATTTCACAGCAACAACCAAAATCAGACTTCATGAATATAAATTACTGTGTTTTTTATTTACTATTATTTCTAATAACATTTATTAGAAATAATGTTCCCTAATAAAGGATAATGTAATTCACAGACTGCCACATAGATGAAGTTACAAATCTTTTCAAAACCACTCATGCAAAAGCTGCACAAGTTCAGTGACAGTTAATTGTTCAGGAGGATCCCCAAAGGAGCATACCAGAATTCTCCTGCACAAGACAGTAGAAAATGGGACTGCAGAGCTGAAAGCTGTAGAAAAACAGAAGCTGAGACGTCCTCTATGTGTGAGGGCTGCAGCTACAGAAAATCCATGTTTCCTTTGTTCTTTCAGGTCCCAATTCCCATGTCAAGTCATGTTGTGCTCAGAATAGGATCTAAGAGTTAAAGTAAGTCACCCTTTTGCTAAACTTAATTTCCAGGCTGCTGTGAAAGTGTATAATTTAGAGCAAGGAGTTTTGGATATGGTTCAGACTATCTTTTGCTGAAAGTTTCAATAATGGTGAAAGAGCCTCATTAGAAATAACATCACAATTTTTTATAAGTATTATTAAATGCCAAAGGAAGATAATTTTCGCTATAAAAATACTTGATGTTTGAACTGAGATTCTCTCCCAAGCTGTTGCACACACCTAAACCAAGGGACAGCCTTTACAAGGGGAGAAGCAATTTAGGACATTAAAATGTCATTTTAGTTGTCAGACACTTCTGTCTCACCCCCTATGCAATACACCATTTTTATTTCCCATATTATAATAAAAATTATATATACTGAGGTATTTAATAGGCAATCATATAGAAGAAAATATTTACTCCAGTAGCAGACTGGCAGCTTTCTTAGCAAGTTTCACAGACACAGAAATGGAGAGGAATGAAAGACAGCATTTTGATTTCATGTAAAAGGTCATCAAATGCTCTGTTCTGTATTTCACTGGGAGTTTATTCAGCATGCTGCTTTGTCCCTGAAACTACCATAACCCAAACCAGGAGCTGCTGAAGACACAGCTGATAAAATGTCAGCCACGGACTCCTGCATGGCATGGCCAGGCAGAAACTAAAGTGAGACATACACACCATCAGCTAGAATCTGGACAGGGGACAGACTGAGAACTCAGAAAGTTCAGAGATTAAAAATATGCCAAGATTTCTTTGTCCTTCTATCCCATCAAAGCTGACAGTTTTCAATTTGGTCACCAAACTTTGCATCCTCAGTCACTTTGTCCATGTTGACCTGTTTTCTATTATTTGCCTGCTGTCCAACTCCCTGCTCACACAGACAAGTCCTACAAGACAGACTTTTGCTTTCCCTGACCCTAATCAGCAGAAATACACTCTCTGTGACTATGGCTTATATTCCACATACAGGAAACGCATCTCCCATATCCTTACAGCTTCCTGTGCATCTGTGCAGGACTTTTCCATTACAGGCAAGCATTTCTTGCAAGAACTCAGTTGAGGAACAAATAACACTGCATGCGTGATGTTGGTTTTGGCACTCGGTAACCAGGGAGAACTGTTAGCACAATCTGTATGTTTTGTATGCTCTCAGAGTCAGGTGAGATGCTTTTGTGTGCCTGATCCTTCCATACAAGCAAAGGGCAGGACAATGTGACCAGGCAGTACTTTAATTCCCAGGACACAAATCGCATGCCTGACCACTTCTGAACTTTGTTTGGAATTCAGAAGCAAACCTAAACTGTGGCCATCGCTCCTAACTTCCCACCAGGCCACAGTAAAACCCCAGATCTGAACAACGTAAAACCGTGGTACATTCCAGATATGCTTCATCCATCCTGGCACTTCAGAATTAGCACATGGTTCACTGTATTTCTGAGTGAGACTTCAGAAGATTTGCTCACGTGTGGCACTTGAGGCTGAACTTCATCTCAGGCCTGCCCAAAACCACGAGCAACAGGAGAGCTAAAGGACTCTGATGCTTGAACAGACCTGCATCTTGCTGGTATCTGCCTGTGGCCTGAGAAGGATGGGATCCAAGGATGGCCACAAGCTGCTGTCTGTGCCATTGTGAAGCTGAGCACTGGGCTGCATGGCACAAAGGCCTCCAGGAGCCACGGCAGCTCTTGAGTCAGATTAAACCTTCCCTGGGGACTGGACTTACTGCCCTGTCTCCAATAAACTAAAGCCAGAGTGCAGCCCTGCATCTTAAGGGATTCATGGGTGAACTAAGGAGAATTCAATTGCTGTTGGATCTTACTGAGTCAAAGTAATCCCAAATGACCTGAAATTTTTCAAACACTGTTTTTTCATCCTTGATTTCCAGATAGGTACAAAATTAGAAAGATTATATGATATTTCAAGTGAAGTGGACCATCAGACAGAACATACTAAGAACTTATTTCCTCCTCTGCACTAGTGGAATTTGGCTCACTCCTGCAAATCAGAGTCAATTAGATATGCAAATATGCATCCTCAAAATTTGCATTCACAATGCCATGCTTCTGTTCATAGCCATGGCAATCATGTATTCTGGGGACCAGTTAGATTTTGAGTTGGCTCCTTGTGCATAAACTCTCAGAACCTACCACTGAAAATGAAGCGTGCATTTTTGTGTATGCCGACATGGGCACACAATTCCAAAAGTCTGTGTCTGTATGACCTGCGAGTGTCTGTATGTTTGACTAATTTGTAAGACTTGGTATGTCTCTGCCATCTACATTCATGCTTACTTTACCTATAAGCCTACAGTTTGAATTGCAGGAATTTTTTTGATTTTGTGAAGGCGCAGGGAAAGCGTTGCTGGTGGAATCATGTGGTCTCATTTCCAGCATGCAAAACCTTCTATCTGCAATGGCAAACACAGTAGCCCACAGGCTGAGGCTACAAAAATTTAGCATGTTTTGCAATTCCCATTTATGATTTTGCAGCCTTTTCTTTGAATATTTACTATGAAGTCCAGGGACATTTGTATTTCTTATATCTGTATGTCCAGACACCACAAAAGATTTTTTTCAAATCCCCACAGTTTGGTTACATTTCACTTTAGTTTAGAAATGCAGAGAGCTCATGTTTAGAGTTTATCAATAAAAGAGAGAGCAAATGTCAAACAAAGATAGTACCTGAAAGGAAATAAAACTAATAATTCAGAATTCTTGTTTAAAAAGTTAAAAAATATGACAGCATTAATGGCACTTAAAGCTATAAGCACTTAAAAGACTACCACCATATTTTTCTCAACTTCTTTTCCTAAACTTGTTTTTTTTCTTTTTCTTCTGAGATTATGACTGCAGCTTATGTCTATACCCAAACCCATCAAAAGGGGCAGAGAGCCCTGAGATTCTGTGGTTGCCCTGGCCCTCATTTGAATAGCGTATACGCTCTTATGTCTATTTTTAGAAATTCAGATTCAGCTACAAAGAACAGCAGTTTGCTGACATGCAAAAGCTATAGCTTTCCTTCTGTTGTCATGGTCTTACAGCATTAAAATTGAACGGTTTTTTTCAGTGGTAGAAAGTGTGAGTGAGAAATTATTTAAAAAAAAACAGTTGGCCCACTGTTTTATACACCTAGCCAAACATCATTAATTTAATGTTTCTCTTCTTTTAAACAACATAGCATGAGATGTTGCATTTTCTTCATATGCACCTTCTTGCTGTGTCTTTACATTGAATATTTCCTACATGAGAAAAAAAATCCATTTGTTTCTTTTCCTTTTTTTTTTGTCACTGGTTAAGATAAATACCCACAGATTTTTTTCTTTTTTTAATGAAAAGAGCAATCCGACCCTCAAATATGTCAGTGTTGATTCTTCAAACCAGCACCCAGCTGGTGGCTGTGTCCATGGACATTCTTTTGGAGTTTAGAAAGATAATGCATTTGATTCAAAAATGAAAAAAAAAAAATCTAGCTTGGATCACGTGCCAAAACGTAAACTAAGCCTTACTAAAAGTTTCTAGTTCACTCCAATCATTTCTCCTCTTTTTGATCACCAGGGAAGGGCTTCATGGGTGCATATTCCATTACAAAGATACACTCTTTTTCATCCCTTTCAAAGGCTCTTCTTACATAGCTGCCTTTTGTCTAATGTCATGCCATGGTAGGAGCACTCTGGTGATATTGCCATGGTTCAATCTCTTCCTTTGTGTCTTGCCCTGGTAATCTTATACAGGCTGAAATTTCCATGTGCGTAGCTTTCTGTTGCCATTCTTCAGTGCTGTGTTTCTGATTTGTTTTGGCAGAGCAAGCTTAAGTCTTTATGGCACAGTGAAATATTCTTAGATGCTATATAATTCAGACTGAAGAAGGAGTCTGTATAAGGCACGTGTCTCGATATATACGTATATAAAAACACTAACATTGTTAATTCAAGTCAAGCATCTTTTACATTTTATTTCTGTCTTCAAGTAATGCTTTGTTTTCTTGTTCCCTTTCTTTGGTTTCGTTGGGGATCACTCCATTATCCAGGTCTGAGTGCTGCTGGATGCAGTTGGTCAGGACTGCAGTGCTAGAAGAGTTCTCAGAATTACACATCTTCTCCGTCTCCTCTTCCTTTTTTTCTTCATCCAAGGAGTAGTTTCGGAAGGTCTCGTAAATTTTACGCACATCCTCAGGGATGGTCTTTTTGAGGTCTTTGTTTTTCCTTTTGGTCATCTTAGCAGATGATCCAAACTTGTTAATGATGTTGTCCTCAGATGCCCCCTGCCCGTGCTTGTTAAGCTGATCTGACCCTTTAAGGCGTAAGTTGTTAGGCCTGTTGTTGATGCTTTCCTGAGATGAGGCTTTGAAGCGTCCTGTTTCCAAGGCAGTAAAGACAGAGCGCTTCTCTGGAGAGAGAATGTCTAAGGAGTGGGCTCGCTGGTCCAGGCCCAGGCGCCTGCGCTCCATGCTCCGGATGGTGGCTGCCCGCTGAAGTTTGTCGTGGATCTCCACGCTGAGCCGCCTCCGTGTCTCTCTGAACTCGGCTGTCACGTTCGCTTTCCACTCCGCTGCGTGGGCTTTTATTTCTCCAACCTTTACAACAACAAGAAGGAGAAATTAATTTTAGAAAAAGTAAAATGAATCAACAGTCTTTCCTACAGAACAGCAGCACAAGCACTTTCTTCACTGGCATAAAATTGGAAACCAGCTCCAGTGCATCCATCTGGACCCAAATTTCAGCAGTGAAGTAGTTATACTGGGCAGGCTCTAAACACACCAACTAGTGATTAGCTAATGGCTTATGTGGCATATAACTTGTCTGCCTGTTTCACATTTTGCCACCCCACACATTTTATAGCTGTATGACATAATGGGAGGTGTTCGTGCTAATCCCTCCTTGGCTAAGAACAAAACTCCTGACTTGTAATGTCAGCCATAGATAGTCAGGAATGGGCAAAATTAATCGCATATAATTATAACAATGTGCTTCAGAACATCACAATAACCAGTGTAGCAATACAGCAATGTATTTTCCCATATTGCTCATGGATGGAGCTGTTCAGTCCCACTGAAAATTCTGTTCAGTGCCACAAATGTTGGAAATACTTATCAGACAATTTCAAGTGGACCTCTGACTGATTCAGTCTAGGGCTCATTCTCAAGGACAAATGTAGCTGTCTTTAATGGAGGTGTCCATTGCATAACTGTCCAAATATCACCCTCTCAAGCCAGCTGGAGGGGTTTTCAACGCATACTCTGTGTGGGCACCATGAGCATGTCCTTAAATGTCTCATTGCTTTGCTCTGTTTTACTCCTTTGCACCTGAGAGTAGAATAATCGCTAAGAGTAAAGCACCTATATGGCTGCTGTATTGAATAAATATTTATTCCAAAATGAGGAAAAAGGAGATAAATGACCAAGCAATATCTCAGTCAACACAGGCCTTTTCCAAAGTTCAGCTAAAGGAGAACAGATTCAGGAGTATGATGTCTGCAGGAGCCCACGAAGGTCAATGGTTTGGCTGGGCTGCTGTAGCCAGAACGCAGTTTCTGCATCCACATGGACGTCATCTTTGGTTCCTCAGGAAAGATGAGCACGTGTGCACTTAGAACGGAATGACTTGTGGCAACAGGCATCTCACATCCACCATGAGAGATCAGATTCCCACCTATAGGTGCCTGCTGATGATCAATTTGACAGCCAAACTCTCTGTGAAGCCCCCTTTATTAATGGACATGCACAGGGGATGCACAGGGCTTCAAGTAACACATATGCCTTCATAAATTATAAACAGCACCACCTCTCTGCCAAACTTTGTTTACACCTGCTCTTTGGCTAACCCTGCCAAGTTAGCTTTGCTAGTAATGTAGGAGATTGCCTTAAAAACTGAAATTACATTATTATTAACATCCTCCACAATAGGCTTCAGCTCTAAAGTCTTGGCAATTGCATTCTGTTTTCCACCCTTAGAGTGAAGCATTAGCAATACTGTCTTTGAATCACAGAGGGCATGTTCTGAGTGAATTTAACCATGTTCTCCCTGATGCTGACTACTCAGTTGCTTCAATTTTTAATAATATGGTACTCAGTAAGGGACCTGAATCTAAACCTTCATTCAGAACCATATTCCCTGGCATAGGAAAAGGTGGGAAAACTCAATATAAAACCCTTGTTTAAAGGCTGATTCTTGTTACATAATGAAGAGAGCCAACTAACGTCTTCAAAACCCATGCATCTCTAATTTGTAAAGAGAAATTTTTATCACAGTTTTGTAGCTAGTCTCACAGTGAAGGCTGCCCTCTCTTATTCCATAATTGCAATCCTACTGATGTGTTCTGTATTTGGTAGTACTGATAGAGGTGTAACAAGCTAGGCTGCTTCAGTTGCTTTTTTATTTCCTTTTGTGTAGGAACAAAAGATCAGACAGAACTAACCGGATACCGAAGGCAGCCGATGGAGAAATCCATGACAAATATTGAGCATTGGTCATGGAGAAGGGCATCCTTCTTTAGACAAGCAGGAATTGGGCACTTAAAGGTCTCTTATAAAATGACAAACCATGGAGAAATGACTAGCCATACCTCTTCTTTCGTCTTCTTGGACAGGACTCTTAACCAGTCTCCAATCATACTCAGGACAGCAGCAAAATAGGCAAGGCCAACAAGGATCCAGAACCACACTAAGGGTTTATACCACTCCCGGTAATGGATTTCAGCATTTCCTCCTGAAATAAGCATATACTTGTGCTTAAGAATCATGAGATGCCAAAATTATGACAAAACATCTGCAATTCTGAGAAATTCCTGAAAGTATTTCTTGACTCTTGACCAACAGCACTGTAGTTTTAATAAAAGATGAGAGGTCTGTCAGATGGGAGGAACACAGTCTGTTCTTAATTTAAGACTCTTGAAAAAATTACCTGTTGTTCTGCTGCTATGTGACCTTACAGGGCACCTCATAAACACTTTTCTTTATATTGCTCATACTCTGAAGCAAGCCTGAAATACGTGCTTTGACAGTACTTGCAACAGCATGAACACATTTCCAAGAAAAAATTTTAATGCAGGTGGTCTTCCTTATTCTGAACTGCCTGCAGCCTGGTAGTTGAGAAACTTCACATTTCAGCCCCCTCACATTAGAGAGTTTCCATATTTTTTTCTGTTTTAGCTATAGGATTGAGAGACCTATGTGCAGGAGAAGGAAAAGTTGCTTTGTCTTCCCCTCCAAATTAGGATATCTGACAGGAAGGCAACCACGCATCAGCCCTGATAATAAGGCTATACTGTCTGCTTGGTTATCAGTTATAGAGGTGCATTCTCTGGACAGTGACTTGAGATGAGATATGAATCAAATGAAGCAACAAATACCCTCTACGGCCTTCATGCAAGTCTCAGGATGAGCTGGTAAAACAAGTATGTACGACATTTGGCAAATCTAATGGACTATGAAGAGCCTCAAATAAGTGCAGCGTCAGCCAGGCTGCTGCCTACAGCAGAATACAACAAACTTTTCCAAAGAAACCAACCACAAACTCACTTTTGAGACTCGCAGTCCTATCGGCACTTCAAGAATGAGAGCCAGTGAGAGGCAGGCACAGCCCTGAGCTGAAGAGAGCAAGCAGCAAAGAGTCTGCACAGCCCCGTGGTCACAGCCACATCCCTCGTTGCAGGTAAACCAACACCACCTTTGTGGTACCTGTGTAAATGCCCGCATGAAGAGCAAGCCTACCAGGGGACTCAGGCAGAGGATTATGTATTTCCTGGACCCCAGCCTTGGCTAGACGAGAACTAGACACCAGCCTGTACCTCTGTATGACTACAGAGAGATTTTAGGACCAAACAACACAGTTCAGCATTTCCCCCTGAGCTTTCTGCAATCTGAGACATTCCTATGACTTTAATTTTATCCAGACTTGATATGAGTGTACATACAGTGTTCAAACATCCCCATGGAAGGTCAGGCACTTGAGAATTGGCAGAGACCCAAATATTGGTTTTGATGTTAATCTCTCCCCATGGACCGCATGAATCACACTCTTTTTTCCAGTCTTTAGGAGTGTGCAACAATGGGAGGTGGGGGCTGTTGTTGCTATGGTACAATGAGGCTCTTCTGATCATACGTGTCCCTGAGGAAGCTTGCTATGGAACAGATTGTCTAGGTCTATCTTACTGACTAATCAGGAGACTGCGAAAGTATGAGACCACTTTTTTCAGCCTATCAGATATTAATTCATTTTTTCATCCACAGGCTCCATCCACAATTGTATCTCCAACAGTAGTACAAAAACTTTCCCAGTTTGCCAAAAAGGGACACATTCTAGGTGGAATAAATCAGCGTAGCTCCATTAATGCTATTTTACCCAATATGATGTAGTATGTTTGATCTGATGTTGAAGGGACAGAGATACTGAGAGTAAAGTGAAAGAAAATAAAAGTGACAGAAAATCTGCCTCAAAACCAGCAATAAAACCCAAATCTCCTGGTGATCACCTGTCTTAAACACTTATCATGAGATCGCCTCTGAAGTTTTCTCATTCAGGGTCCTCCCTTTGATTTTTGAAAAATCCTGGTTGTTAGTAGCCACCCAGCTGTAGAATGTATTCTCCAAATCATGTTGGATATAACTTAGTTTAATATTCAGAGCTTTCTTAGTATTATATTATTGAAGAAAACAATACTGCAATTTTATATGCTTATAGAAAAATATTGCAAATTATTTTTATTTCACACTGTGATACCACAAAGACAGAATATCAGTGAGCTTCTCTTCACATTTAAGTATTTAAAATGGACCAAGCTCATACAATCACTCCTGTGTCTGAATGCTCGTAAAACGCTACTTTTTTCGTATCTGAGGCTCTCTTTGTTCAGTACCTTTTTTCCCTCAATAATTCATGTCTTCTGTACCACTATGTCATAAAAAAGGAGGATTAGAGTTGTCTCTACTAACAGACTTGTCTGCAGCTCTTCAGCAAAGAAAGCTTTATACATCCCTGTAGTTTCATTTGATGTTTTTAACTCATTTGTATTTCACTGATTTATAGGAAGTAACAAACCAGTAGCATAATATGGCCATTTGTAACACAGGCATCTTAATGCCCTTAATGAGAAACCCTAACAGGAATGACGGGTAGAGCTCATGCACTAACACAAACAAAAAAAAAAACAAAAAAAAAAATCCACTTATCTTAACTACCTTTTTGTTAGCAGTTGTGTGGAAAAAACCAAACAACAAACCTCTAATCTCTCCAGCCAACAACCTTGACTCCTTTGTTGGAAATTGATAAGGATGGATATTTATAGCTCCTGCTACTACTGTATTAATCTTGGAGAGTATCCTCCTAGCACTGAGTTGCATACCCCATTAGTCCTTCTCCTTCTATCTGAGTTTTCCTTAACAAGGCAACTGCAATGTCAAATTTTCTGCCAAGGTTAAAGAACAAAACGCAGTTTTTGAAATGCCGCAGCTCCTGTAGATGAAGCCTACTACTTACTGCACCTGACCAGAGATTTCTCCAGCTCTATGGCTCAGCCCTGCTTTGGAAGAGCTTCATTCAGTCATCACTTGGGCTACTTGCTTCTCCAGTCAGCCTCAGATTGAGCTATAATGAGCTAATACAAATCTTGAATTCAATGGCAAAGTCATTTGACTTGTGCATAATTCATTGCACAATACAGGATAATCAGGACTTCCCAGGTTCCCGTTATCTACACTGCTGAAAGCTTGCCATCTGCAGGTGGCAAGGCACCTGGATCTTAAGCCAACCTGGTGTCCTACTGCACAGTAACCCCAACAGAAACACCTGGCATCATTTCACTGAAATATAATACATTGTGAAAGGCCTCCTCTCTGCACCAGAAAAATTCTATGAGCCAAGGCCCTTGTGCACAGCACCTAGTCTTGAAGCTGCTCACCTGCTACAAAGTCACCGAAGCCAACAGTAGTCAGAGTGACAACCACAAAGTAGATGGACTCCAAGGCTGTCCATCCTTCAATGTGTTTGAAGATAACTGCAGGAATGGTCACAAAGACAATGCAGCCTGCCAGGATGAAGAGGATGGTAGAGATCACCCGGATCTTTGTTTGACTCACTTGCTTTTTCTAGAAAAAAAGGAAATAACAGAAGAAAAAAAAATATTTTTGAGTGAATTTCTGGGATTATATCCATTGTGAATGGCAGATTGATGATTCTGGTGTCATCTGATATGTCTCTTTCTGCCTTCTGTGAGCTTACTAGGTGGAATACAACCCTCCTTCCCCGTTAGTGAGAGCCCTGGCCCAGTAATAGTGAACCTCTATGTCTGGCCCCAGAAAACTGTGGTTCTCATTTTCCATGCACCAGGCAGTTACTAACCTACCAGAAACACAGCCTGGAAAAACAGTCCTGAGCTTCAGAAAGGCTTCAGTACACTCCAGTTCAGGTTTGATGTAAGAAAAAGTGCACATTCATACCTCCATACATGTATATGTACACCCACATTGCCTCACCAGCACCAAGCATTCAACAAGCAAGACTAAAATGAAAATAAACCCTTTTTTGCCTCTAAAAACCTGAGATTTTATGTAGAAATAATTTGTTTGTTGCGTTTTCTAGACTTAGGATTTCTGTCTTTCATTCACAAATCATAGAATCATAGAATTGTTAGGGTTGGAAGGGACCTCAAAGATCAAATATGAAGGCTAAATCTCCTTTTCAAAAATAGATACCTATATTATCAGTTTACTCCAGAAATTAAGGATTTATGTCAAATACCAAACAACCTGAGACAAAATAACTTAAGTAAATCCACACTGGAAAGCTCTTGAACAAAGAGTATGTGTCTTACTGCCTGCTATAAACTGAATACAAATATGAACAGTGTTAATCGCAACATTTCACACTCCTAGATCATATAAACTCTCAATTTATTTACTATAAACTTAGACTATGTTTCCAGTAATATTGACACAAGCCTGGATTAACACAACTGACTCTGGCAGATTTATTTCAGATTTTCTCTGCTATAAATAAACTAAAAATTCAATAGAGTTTCATGAGAAACCTGGAAATTACTAAAAATCTTACTCTGGAGTAATTACAGTGGCAGTGTAAATTCTGTATTTATCCTGGGAAAAATAATGTGGAGGTCACTGTAAATCACATATTTCCAAATTAGTTTTCCAAATCAAGCATCTCCCTTAACCCAGAAATAAGATCTCATTTCAGATTAGGACATTGCCTAGACAGGAAATAAGGTCTCAGAAGTTTTCTTCATAATACACAGAAAGCCTGAACTGGTTAATATCTAACCAGCCTGTGAGCAGTACTACTGTTTCCACTAAAGCACGAGCATTTCTTTTAGAGGTGCAATGTCCGACCCTCATTAGGCACTCACCTGACCTAGAATGCTCTGCATTTAGAACCCAGGTAGCAGCATAAATACGCCATGTTTCATAAGTACTCTTGCTTCTGAAACTATTTGAGATGATCCCTACACTGACTTTTTTTTCTTTTTGTGTGTGTGCATTGTTTTCTGTGTCTGGCTGAACAGAAAAAGTTGAATAGAATTAGCCATACATAAGATTAATCAAATACAAGAAATGGAAAAAACTGCCACTGAAGTACCAAGGAGAAAAACAACACAAAAATGTAAACCTGACTGGAATTCTTATTTCCTCTTTTTCTGGAGAGTAATTTTGAGCAATTTGCTAAAATACTAAAGGATGATCTAGCTTCTTTAAAAGGTATGGACACATTCACAATGGCAGGATTTCAGACTTACTGTATGTGCAGAGAAGAGAAAGCAAGAGATTGCATGGATGTTACGCGGTGCCTTAGATTGGCACACTTGCTTTATGTCATGGGGGATGAGGATTTAACAAAGTTGTGTTTTATGTACAAGTTTTGCCAAGGTGACTTGTTCACTTCTACTAAATGCCTCCGAAATGGCAGACACCTTGCTACAGTGGAAGTTAGGAGGCATATGCAGTGCTGTGTAGTACTGGGAATCCTCAGACAAAAAGGACTTTGGAGCTGCCAAGCACTACTAGTAAAGCAAAGCTATGCATAGTAATCCTTCCTCCAGTCCCCATATAGCAACATTAAAATGCATTTCAGTATGTGTCAGGATTGTCTTGTCTCATGGTAGAAACAGGAGTGGAAAGAATGGCCTGCAAATCAGTACCAAATGTTCAGGACATCCACTTGTTCATGAGTGATAAATTCAGCTGAAGGTTGTTGGTTTTTTTAAGTAAAAAAAGGTAACAACGTTAATGAGAAGATCTGCAGAAAGGCCTGACTCGTGGTTATTGTGCACCTCAGTCACTCACACAAAAGTGGAGCAGCTGAGGGTCTACTTTTTTCTTACTCTTCCACTGATACAAATGAAGTCAGAAAGCAATGGTGAATCAGGCACAGCATTTTTAGAGCTACAGAAAAAAAGCACAAAAGCAAGACTCAGAAGCAGAATTACTTAATGGACAATAACACACGAAATTCAGGATAGAAGTGAGAAGAGGGGTGTTTTTACAGTTAGATGTGCATTCAGAGGACGTTCACACTAGAGGATAACTGCTATAGATCCAAAAAAATGCTATGAAATAAATGTCATTATTCATGGAGTATGGACATTGTAGTAACCGCACATTACATAAAGGTTGGTTTGCATGGGGTTTTTTGCAGATGGAGTTGGCCTTGCTATTGTACTACAAAGAACATAATTTTGTGCTGGCCGGGTTGTCAACAATAAGGAAACGCCACCTTTACATTCTGGTTTTGGCACAGTTGTATCAAGAGGAGACTAAATTAGCCTAAGCCCGTGCAGTATTATATTGTACAAAGTCATTATTAAAAGAAAGAAATACGTATGTATAACACCATATATATATATAAAAAACACTTTCAGAAATCTGAAAAGGTTCATACAAATTTCTCTTTTAAATAGCATTTGCAATCTGAAGCCAAACACTGGCAAATAGCTGAGCAACTCCAGCCAGGCTAATACATACACTGAGCCCATTCTGTGGCATAAACACAAAATTTTCTGTAGGTGTCAAAACAGTAAGAGAGGCCTTTCTCCAGGAAAAGTAGTTTATCTCCTAGCGGTTTAAATAAAATGAAAATGCTTTTTAAAAGATATGTTTTCTAGGGTTTTTTTGGTTTTGTTTTACCAACAAGTTCTCTCCACATTGATGAAGCAGATAATTCGTAAGACATTAATCAAATAGAAATAAATTAGTGCCTGCTAATGAAATAGTCTTCAATTTAAATCTACCTAGAGCTAATCTGGAGAAGATTAAAAGAGGAATTTAAGAAGAAAAGAACAGAGAGTTTTCTGTGATATAACCACCTATGAGGGGCCATTTCCATTTACTAATGAATGCGCTGATTTTGCTCTTAAGGTGGCTAAGTGCTGAACTGGCAACATCACTGTCATCATCTTGTTCATATTATTTCAAACAACCTACTGTCAACCTGCTCGAGTGCCATGAGGAGTGAGAACAGATATTCTCATGAAAACACCCTTATCAGTGGAATTTAGTTCTTATGCATCTTCTCTACCCATAATTGTGACCTTGCTTTTTCATTATTTTCTATTACATACACAGCGGTCTTATCAGTTTTGGTCTTATCCAATAATTTCAGGAGTTAAAAGAAATTCCTATTTATTTCTTTTTTCCTTTTCTCTCTCTGTGATCCTACAGAACAAATCTGATGAACTGGATTCTTTTACGGCTCCTGCCCTTTTCGGGTGAATTAACTCAGGCACAATTTTTCTGATCTGACTGTTAACAACAAAAGGGCAAGACAAGGTTCTTAAGTTCCCAAGCTGAGACCACAGGGATGATACACATTCCTTCAAAAACAGAGTAGGAGACATCAAGTCTGGGATCAAAAGGTGCTACAGACTTTTATCAGACTAGACCAAATGTTAAATATATGGAACGCATATATTTCCATGAACAGCATATTTCAAATATGCTTGTTCCAAGGTTTTGTAGTGTCACCTCCCATTTCACAGAAACTCCCCTAAATGCAGTACTACTCAACCAAAAATAGCACTGGAACATTTGCTGCTTCACAGGGAGCTCAGATGGTTCCCCCGCCTTCCAAACATTTTCTTTTCTGAATTCCTGACAAATATCATCAAGACTCCAAGCAAGTTGTCTACCTTTTTGGCTAGATGATCAATGCCATATTTTTAGTGCTAGTATAATGTGCCTGCATGGAACATACTGTCCTCATCTCTCCACAAGGCTCTGTGTTTTGGAGCACTCCTCCAAAGAAAACATTTCTTTAACATTTCTTTTGTCCTCTTCGCCTACTCTTACCTTTATGCCCTGTCCCATGCTGCCAACAGTTCTTGCAACAGATTGTCTCTGCCTGTGCCCTAACTAAACAGCTTGTCTTCTAAATCACTTTCTCCAGATCAAAATATTTTAACAAGAGAAAAGCCAGTCTTTGTACTCAAAGCTTAAAACAGACTATCACATATATCAGTTCTATTTTTTCTCTGCCACAAACGTTCATTATGTCCTTAGTCAAAACATTTTTGCTATGCTAGTGTAGACAGTACAGATAGTCATAGGTTCACTCAGTCAAATGCAAGCCAGCCCTGGTCCAGAGCCTGGCACATACCTCAGTAAGGTGCGATGCCCATCTCAACAGGCTGTGCAGAAAGACTGGCACAGCACTGGGCTCACAGGGCTCCTTGGTGATCAGCAGTATGGTCGCATCAACCTCACTGCTGCCTATACTTGTCACTGTGGATTTCTTTCTAACTTTTCCTAGCTCCTTCGTATTCAAAATGAGACTGAAGCTAAATGTATTTTAAATATCACTGGCTTACATATAACATCTAGGAACAATATATCAATCTTTTGTTCTTCTGTGTTCTCTGAACACAGCTGGTTCCAGCTGGCTCCAACAGATCACCACAGGACACTGCTGAGCCCCTCAGACACAGTGGTGGCATCTCTCAGAAAGTTTATTTAAGAAAGGGCAGAAATGCTGGGCAGGCAGAGAAGGAGGGAAGAGAGGAGGGAATGAGGGAATAATAAGGTCGGGGGAATGGGGGGTGCTCCATGGCAGAGCAGGTACTTCCCTGGAGCAACTGCAGCCC